TTGGGCTGCTCACTATTGATGGGGGTAAGATAATTGGCTCATAGTCATATTTGCATACTGACCACTGTGCTTAGATGGGCACATTCCTCAATAGCCCTTGGCTATTGCATTGTTATCTGTCTCCCCCCACATCCAGTGGGTGCATCCTTCAGGACCAGACACAGACCGGATGCATCTGTCACTATGGCCACAGGTGGTTATCACTTGAAAGAGGTCAAAGGAGGGGGAGTCAGAGACGAGGGGGGAGCACACCGCCACAGAGGTGCATGTTATGGATCCTGAAGCTATGCTGAGGTAGTTGGTTAGCATCTTACCTTAGGCTACTCTGATCTCTAGCTGCTTGACTTTTTGTTAATTTTACCTGTCAGATTTTTTTTTATTGGCAAATGTTTTGTATTGTTTCTTCTTCCACTCTCTGTCCACAAGTGCAAAGCCCTGCACCTGGGATGACATAGCCGAAGAGCCCAGTACAGGCTTGGATCTGTGTGGCAGTCCCCATTGCTGGAGGTTTTCAAGATGTGATTGGACAGGGTGCTAGATAATCTCATCTAGGCTCGCTTTCCCACAAAAAGTTGGTCCAGATGATTTTTCAAGGTCCCTTCTAACCTGGATTGTTCTATGGTTCTAAGAATTATTGTTAGTTTACAGACATTAATGCTGACTAATAGGGGAAAAAGTGTGACAGTAGCATTTTTAGGTAAATTCTTATATTTCAAGTGGCAGGTAGAAATACTGTTCTTGTTGCTAGATTCGTGTTAACTGGAAGCATTTCCATCCTTTCAGTTAGAGAATTTGATGAGATTCAAATGAGCACTTCTGGCAGTTAAACCACGGTACATTCCTGAAACTGTAGAGCAGTCCAACCTTCATTTGAAGGAGTGCACCTTTAGCAACCACAATGAATGACTTTTAAAACAAACAAACAAAAAAGTACTTGAGCATGAGCGGGTAAGTAGGAAATAATATCAAAACACATGAAGCCCATCCACTGAGACAGAAAAATAATGAACAAAAGAAAACTATTAATTCTGTGGCATGTCAAGATGATGTGAGGTGTTGAGTGCCATGGCGTGGACACAGAACCTTCTGTTACTTGATGTTCAGCTGCAAAACAAAGGAATTCTGTTACTATCTATTCATGTTTCCCTTTTAAATATATATAACATTGCTAGACAAGGAGTTAATATTATTTTGCTAATACTAGCACAACAAAGCTTGTGGGACAAGAAGATGGTGAGAACTGGAAACTTGGGACGAGGACCTACACTGCAAGAATGGAGAGATGAAGGGTAGAAAAATGGAGGAATCTAGTCCTCTGTCATATAGTGTTAGGATCCAATTTTGTTTGGATGAGAGGAAGGCCCCCTTGCTTTCTAGCCAACCTTGGATGAGTCTGGGAGGCTAGTGGTGGCTGGACCATCCTCTCGTTTCAGGCTCGATCCCTTCCAGCAAGATTAAGACACAAACGAGGTCAGATGTCGTAAGTCCACCTGTTTATTAATTGTTCGGGGGAAAGAGAGAAAGCAGCAATAGGAAAGGAAGGAAGGAAAGATAAGAAATCAAGCGAGAGGTCCGGAAAGAAGAGAGCAGACGGTCACGGCCATGGATCCGCAGCAAACTGCAAGCCTTGGTGGGCAGGCGGCCCTGTCTGGGTGTCCGCTGCTTCAGCAAGCCTGCAAGCCACCTCGCCTGCAGCAACGCTGATCTTCGCATATTGCCACACAGAGGAGAGCAGGCTTTGAGACAGTTGGCTGGCTATTCAGTCTCCAGTTGGCTGGCTATTCAGTCTGCCACATATAATTACTATAACCACCTTGTATTAGAACTGTTAAGCTTTGAAGAGGTATACGTAGTCTGTGGTTTCTTGTATCTATTTTTCTATAACTGTTTATCAAAACTCCCAATCTCTGTTCCTCTGTTAGAAAAAAGTCTCATCTGAGAAGAGGATTTTGGAGTCAGAGTCAAGTATCATCCATTTAGCTTTGCCTATTGGTAGCATTTAAACAAACAGGTTTGTGCGTTAGATGAAAGATGGCGCTTGGTCATCAAGTTCTACAACAGAACTTGAAGTTCCTTCTTCTGTTTTTATGGTATTATACGTCAAGAAAACAAATGTTTAAACAAGTTTTCAGTTTAGAAATATATTACACTTTTGAAGGGTTTTGATTTCAGTGTTACTGTTCCTTTTTTTTTTTTCTAAAGCAAAATTTAAATTACTAAATCAAGAAATGAAATTAATACATACTGAGGACTGTAACTTTTTTACGTTGGAGAAATTTCCCAGTATGTGTATAACGATCCAACTCCCACTCTATTTTCATGGTAATAAACAGCACTGCAAACAAACAGGTGGTTTGTCAGAAGGAACTGTTACATCTCATAAGATCTTTATGATAAAGTCATTCAATACTGCATTTCCTCTAAGTGTTCATGTAATTTGTAGCTAACACTCATCTCCCATGAAATGCTGAGCATTCCCTTGGTAGGAAAACCTCTTTTTTTTCCTTCTTTCAACAGGCTTCAGAATAATATGAGATGAAAAAATAATGCATGCATATGCTCAGTTTTCCTTTCTTTCCTCTTTTTCTTTTCCTCATTTTCTTCATAAAAGAGATTTTCCACTTCTGTTGCCTCATGTTATGAGCACTTGCCTGTACATAACTCCGGTGATAATCTATATCAAGGTCAGATCTGCCATCCACGTGTAAAAATACTGCATTTTATAATGTGGATTAAATGTGAAATATAGCAGCATCTTTGACAGATTTATTTGTGTTACAGAAGTATTGAAACAGGAAGAAAGTATACCCACAGGAGAGGAAAAGACTTTGATCATGCCTGTCAATGTCTGTGGGCCCAGATATGAAAGTTCCTTGACTACTTGCTATAGTTTAAAAACATTTCGAACTTTTGTTTGGGTCCATCTGGCAGTACCATCAACATATATTTGCTATTTTCTCTTCCTGCGTACTGTTGCACGAAACCCTGAAGCATATTTATTCATGAGTCAGGGAAGTGATTTAAATATGGGATCTCAATGTTATCTTTTTGAAGTCTTTTTTTTTTTTTTTTTTTTTTTTTTTCTTTTTAGTAGTAAAGAAAACTTTACTACTACTAGGGGAAAAGTAAACTTCTCCTACATTTTCCTCTGTCATGTCATTGCTAAAGCAGCTTGCTTGGGTGCTTTAAATCATCATTCTCTCTAAAAGAGAGTGAACAAGCTTCAGATGTTTGTGAGAAACTTTTCATAGCATTTAAGGCAATTCTTGCCTGTACTCTGCAATGGTGACATAGGGAAAAGGAGGATTCCTGCTCTGAGTGTACTGCATGTGTTCATATTGCTACCACGAAAGCCTTTAAAATGGTCCAAAAGTTCTGGTACTACTTGTGGTCATAACTCTCCAATTCTAAAGAGACTACAATGATCAAGACTACAAACAGACTAACTTTTAGATCCAGTTCTGTAATGACATTACTGGTATATTTTTTCCTAATGTGTTACTAGTTCTCACTCTTTGAGACCCCAGTGAAGTAGTTTGTGATATTCTGCAACACACCCAGTAATGAAAATTTTCAAACCAGTTGTATTAACTGTGTACTTTTGTTTATTATGTACTAGAATTGACTGTTAGAGCAAATAGCAATTTTGAACGTGTGTAAGCGTACTGTAGCTGATGCTCCTTATTTACAACACCTCTAAGGGCATGCTTAACCAGTTTCATGTGTTATGAAGGGCCATTGTTCTTTGATACAGAATAGTAAGATTGCAGATCACATAACTGATGCTTAACTCCTGTTGTTGGCAGTGAAAAAAGTTGCAAAGAAACTGAGAACTGGTTTTATACTTCAAAAACAGCTTGAGGGGAAAATGCCAAATTCAGTATTGTTATATGATAGTAATATTCAAGGGATTTATTTTGCATGTCTATAGTATGTGGCCACTGTAATTTGCACTGTAGCATTCTGAAAAACCTTGCAGATTGTAGGGAATAAAACTTCCTTATCAGAGAGACTGAATGGAAATGTTGATTCTATTCACTAGGGCTAATCAATTGGGATAAATTAATCTGAACTTGTATTTTTTTTTCAGATTGATGCTGTTGTTTTAAATGCAATTTTTCCCTAAAGTTAGGTATTCCTAACTTTAATTAGGTAAGGGCTCCAAGTGTTAATCTTTAGAAACAGCAAACTTGTGCAAGTAGTTTAGATGACTATTTCCGCTGTGTATTGCCACATAACTGACAGAACTTTGGTTGTATTTACCATTGACTAAATTCTTCAACCATTTTTACAATTTTCTTTGTTATTCTTGTAAACAAATCCTTTTGATTTTGGAAATTGTGCAGCATTTCTGTTCAGGTTTTTTCATTCTTCCCTCCATATTTTAACAAGTCAAAGTCAGTTTTTTACATATTTTGGACTTCCGTATGAGTTGTACAAATTCATTCCTAAGCATGGAAAAAGACTTGTTTGCCTTGTGGTAAGGAGTCTGTTAGTTCATCACTGTTCCTAAGTGCTTCCAATAATTGTGTTCTTGCCATCAACAGAGATATGAGAGATTCATCGATGAAACAAATAATGAATTAAGTATACAAAAGCTTTTTTTTAAAATCAAGATATTATATAGTTTTGGTTGTTCTGACAGTGCTTAGCTTTTGTCTGTTTAGGGGATGAGTTATCCTAATTGCTTGGAAGAAACTACTGTGTTTGTGTTTTCTGAGTGCTGTCTTTTGAGAACAAGATTTTAATAGTCTTATTTTTCTTCAATTTCTTTAGCATTTGCCCTTGCTGAGTTGATTGACAATTCTTTATCAGCTACATCCCAAAATACTGGTATTCGGAGCATACAGATAAAATTGGTAAGATAAAAACATTCTCCTTTTTTTCAGGTGTAGTTTGCTTTTTTTTTTTTCTGGTGCTCCTTGTTTTTTGGTTTTTTCCCCAAACAGTTATTTGATGACTCCCAAGGAAAACCAGCGGTTACTGTGATTGATAATGGAAGAGGAATGACTTCTAAACAGCTGAATAACTGGGCCGTATATAGACTGTCAAAGTTTACAAGACAAGGTGACTTCGAGAGGTTAGAAAGTTTTAATCATTTTTACAAAACTTGGCAAACTCTGTGAAGGTTCACAGAATATAATTTTAAGACATATCTCTATACCAACACTTAGCTAAAACCTGTCATTCTATATTTACATTTAAATAGACACATATTTTCTGTAGGTAGAAAATAGAGAAGCTTCATAACACAAAAATGCTCTTCTAATATGATACTGTGAGAATGTTTTTATTCTTGTGGCCTTTTCTAAGCTGTCTTCTCTTTGATTTGCCTGCATACAGTTAGGGGCTTTCTACGTGTTTTTTTTATAGTGTTACCTGTTACCTGAAAGCCTTTCAATAGTGCATTAAGGAACTCATTCAATGTCTGTCATGCTACTGGAATAATGGATATAGGGTTTTGGTTTATGTTCTTTTATTTATTTTTTTTTAATAACTTAATTATGTACAATGTAATGCAAGATTATACCTGAAGATGTCTATTTATTGAAGAAGGCTAGGCAAAATACATGTTTTGCTTTTAAAGAAGAAAGTAAAAGTCTATGGTGCATTTTCATTTATAAGAATGTATTTTACAGTCTTGAATCTGTTCCCAAGAGATCTTCCACCTGCACAGCCAGGCTTAACCCTAGTGCAGTAAATACCAAAGCAGTAGTTATGCACAATTCTCAAGCTTTAGTCACTTATTTAAATACCTTAAACCTAGGACAGTAAATTTGAAAATAGGGATCACAGCCTCAATCATAACTAACTTGTCCTATGAGAAACTAGTGTAAAAAATAATGGAGCAGCAGAAAGTGATAATAGAGCTGAGGAGGGTTTTTTTTTGCATTGAATGCATCTCCAAATAGAATGATCAGTATCTATCAAACAACTGGGAATAAGTGCGTAAGAAGTGATTCTTTGTTATCTTATCTAGTCATTTATAGAGAAATGCACTGCTTTTTGAAATTGCCGTAGGTGAATTTAGTAACAGCAGAAATGTATAGTATTTTTAAGCTACAGGTTTAAAATGTGGGTTGATAAACAGTGGGAGCATAGCTGTAAATTATACCAGGATGCCATCACACCCTGTTTTCATTTGGGATTGCTATGATTTAAATCAAGATGTTTGTTCTACTATTTGCTTAAACTAGGTAAGACACTTCATCCATCAAAGCTGACTCAAAAGACATGGAACTTAATTATTGATGACGTATGTGGTCTCTCCAAGACTGCATTTAATAGTTGGCATTATTTCCCATTTGGACTCAAAACTATTTCTATGAAAGGATGATGTCAGAAAGATCAGGCTTGCATTGTTAACCATTTTAATTTGCAGCAGCTTCACAGTTAATATCTCACCATAGTCAAGGGTAGACCATTGAGGGATTTGCCTTTTACCTTCTACCATTAAAACTGTGTGTAATTGCTGTTACCGCAGTACCTGTCACATCTCCCTGTTGCAGAGTTAACAATGGGGAAAAGTTTTCAGGGTAATAGTTTCTTTGGCTGTCAGATTCTCCCTGCCAAATGTTTTTCCTCTCTGTCATATGAACTTCAGTGTAAAAAAAAAAAAAAAAAATTGTGCATAATAATAAGCAAAAGGGTTGTTCAGGTGAAAAAATTGAATGTGTATGACTAAGATTTGGTTTGCTAGAAGGGACAGAAGTGTCTTATAAGATGACTTAGAAAAAGAGTTGCTCTGCCAACATCCTTTTAAGAAAAAACATCAAGAATTTTAGGCACATTTTAATGTTGCAGTTATAATAGAACTAAAATGAAGGATTTCTGAACAAAGTGACTGCAGGAATAATTTAATACAGGCTGTTTAGACAGAAGGGCGTTTTTTGGGGGTGTGTTTTTTGTTTTTTTGTTTTTTAAATGACTTCTTGAGGAAGTTTATTAAAGCCATTTTTATTGTCAGTGATCATTCAGGATATGTACGCCCTTTGCCAGTGCCTCGTAGTTTAAATAGTGATATCTCATATTTTGGAGTTGGAGGCAAACAAGCAGTGTTCTTCGTTGGACAGTCTGCCAGAGTAAGTAAATGTCAATCTTTAACTTTATGATTATGTAAAAATGTTTTAAAATATTGTTGCTATCCTAGCTTTTAATCACAGCATTAAGCTGTTTTATTATGTTCATTTTAACTCTTATTTTGATTTTAAATACTGTTTCTTTAATAAAAACAGATGATAAGCAAACCTGCAGATTCTCAGGATGTTCATGAACTTGTCCTTTCTAAAGAGGATTTTGAAAAGAAGGAGAAAAACAAGGAAGCAATATATAGTGGATACATTCGAAACAGGAAGGTAAAGTGGCCTTAACACTTTTTTTTTTTTTTTTTTTCTCATTGAAAGCCTTTCGCAGCTCAACATGATTTCACTGTAATACTTATCTGGTGATATCTTTACCTTATGAATCACTTGCACTCTGGAGTATAGAAGGAAGTAATGGAAAATTTGAGACACTGTATCGTAAGGCTTTATTTGTATGTGATTATTTTTTTCCATTTAGGTTAAAGGACAGGAACACCATATAGTTTGACACATTAGGTTAAGAAAAGTATCTAAAAAGATCTTTCTAAGAACAGCAATTGTTTTGTTATGTATGAAACATAAAAATGTCCATTCTCTCAAGTATTAAGGAATAAATTAGGGAAACAAACTCTGTGTTATATAGAAGTATGTAGAACTACCCCGCATATGGGAGAAAAGTCATCCAGATCAACAAAGACCCTGATGGTTTTCATGAAGAAGTAAAGCTTAAGCAAAAAGCTGTAAGATAAGGAGGAAGACCAGAAGGAACTGTTCTTTGGACGTTTTTGAGCAAGAAAATAAAGGCAAAGATATAGCTAAGGGTGCAGAAGGAGCATAAGTGGGTGCTGTGTATGACAAGGTAATCGGATCTTGATTATAGCCCACATAACTTGTGGGTTGTATCAGTGTTCTTGGCCTTTTGTATAGCTGAGAAAGGAACAGGAGGTGAATATGGTTTTTATCATGCCAGTCTTGGGTCAGTGACTTGTGACAAAGAATGAATCATCAGAAACATACAAGTTTTACTTTCAATAATGAGATGAGAAGGTAGAGTCACAGAAATAGAAACTGAAAGTAGAAGCAGACAAAATCTGCTTTTTATAGAGGGCCAAAATGCTTTCTTTTATTTGATATTAAAAAAGTATGGGGGATCGAAAAGTAGAAAATAAACAGATATTAGTTGGAGGAAGCTAGCAGAATGAGATGTGTAGGTGGTGCAATCAACTGTTTGAAAAGTTGTGGTGATAATATGAAATGAATGTTAAGCTGACACAGTTAAAAAAAAGTTGCCAGTAAAGCTCTATTAAAGGTAAAAAAACAACTTGTAAGTATCCAAGAGGGAAGACATAATGTGAAGCACTCAAGTAATGAAAGTGTGGATATAATTTATAGACAACTTGGGTCTAAGAAATTTTAAAAATCATTGAAATAGCCAGACCAGTTTTGTAATATTGATGTGAAACTAAATGTGTGAAGTTGTTTAATGTCTTGAAAAATAGTCTGCAGTGCACATAGGTGAGTGAGAGAATACTATGGCAGAAATAAAAGTTCTAATGAATTACTGCTGTGTGAGAAGAATAATTGAATCTTTGAGGAATTGAGTTGGTAAAGGAAGTTACTTTTGCAAAGAAATCAAGGTATAGTTAGCATCAAACCTCAGACATTCTAGACCAAGGCCAGAACACTGAAGAGAAGTGGCATTGATGGCACCCCAGCCGATCATCTTCTGTTGGGGTAATAGGCACCTCTCTTTACTGCACTCATTTCCCTGAACCATTTAATATTGCCAACAAGTAAATACTACTTTTTCTAGCTGAGATGGATGCTAGGAATGTAGGGGCAAGTGCCATGGTAATTTGTCATCTGTAGTGGGAAGGCAACCAAAGAATTTGGGAACAGCATTTTGGAGGTACTTTTAACTCTGTAAGTTGTACCGGATAGCACTTGTTGAACATTTGCATGCAGCTTCTAGGTCACTGGTCAAATCATACAGAGGTGGTGACTCTGGCTTTTCTTTATTATCTGTGATCTCATCACCATAATAGAAACAGCCCCTTGCTTGGATGAAATGAGCAAGACTGTTGGGTTTAAAAGAGGCTATGCTGTGGGCAGAAGAAAGCATTTAAAGAATTGTAGTCGTTTTTGATGAAAGTTCCCCCAACTGGTTAAATTATCCTGTTGGCTAAGGAGAGTTCTTTGATCCCCTGGGGAAATTAAGTCTTAACAGAACTCCCTTGACTAACATATTTCACTGTCTACAGTTAGGTATGAGATTTGTCCTTTCACCAATTCAGTGATGTGCTTCCTTTTGGCCTGTTTTCCTGCAAAACGAAGCATGAAGCTGCATTTACTACAGCATGGGAAAACGTATTTTCTTAAGTTGTACCAATTGTTTGCAATTGCTATAAAGATCTCAATCTTTGTATTAAAAATAGTTCCTTTTCTGGATGCATGAAATGTGAAAGATTATCCACTTGTCCAGCATGAAGCATGACATCAACTCCTGTGTTTCTATGCAGCTTAGAAATCTATCATGGGTGAAGTGCATCCATCCAGGAAAAGACAGTCAGGACTTTCTGGAATCAGGAATTTCTGTTTCTGTGAGACTACTGGATATTTCAGCTGGAACTGAGGATTTGCCCTTTCTGTTTCACAGCATATGCTTGTTTCTTCCATTTCAATTTCTGTTATAGAAAGCAGCCTATCCATTTAAAAGCAAATAATTGTTTTCTGGCTTGGTTGTCTTAAAAAAGACTATGTCTTATACACATAATAGTTCCATTTAGTGGATGAGACCGTGGATATCACACAGTGCCCCACTAAACATGATTAAATGCATTTCTAGACTGAACACTTCAAATGCTGTGATGAAAGTGAGTTGAAATGAACTGGATCAGGGATGTCGGATTCTGTTTGTTGATTTTAATTTGGAAGCATTCCTTTCTGATACTTAGCATCACATGTTCTGTATTGTTTTCCTGTTCTGTTTTTTAGTCCCTTTCAAAGCTGATGGGAGTTCAGAAATCCAGTTTACATTCATGCTCTTATTATTTTACTCTTTTTGTAGCCATCTGACTCTACTCACATCACAAGTGATGATGAAAGATTTCTTCATAATCTAATATTAGAAGAAAGGGATAAAGAGAGTTTCACAGCAGTTGTCATTACAGGTGTACAACCAGATCACATGCAGTACTTGAAAAACTACTTTCATCTTTGGACAAGGCAGCTGGCGTAAGTTGGTGATTTAAAAGATTTGATTTAAAAGTGAACTACTAACAAAGATAATGATGAATTACTTTCTTTTTGTACCTAGTCATTGCCTTTATTCCTGTTAAGGCTGTTGATACAGATTTTGTTGATGACACAATTAGTCTTCCTAGCTAACTGATTTTACAGAAACTGGTACAACTCAATAGGGCCCCCCATCCAAAGAAAGATGTTTACAAACATCAGTTTCAATGTGACTTGATAATTGATACACAATTATCCAATCTAATATTAATAACATATTCAATTTAAGTTATATTATTAATGTAACAATTAGATATCTAATTATTAATAACTCAATAAGTTACTTTTCTCACAACTGCGCTCCTAACCTTGATAACCTTGATATCTATCTTTGTATTTACAGTATTTTGGTTTTGTGTTTGGGTTTTATTTTAAACAACAACAAAAAAAGCTGCTGCTTCATCCCAGTTTAAGAGGATGCACTCAGTGCTATATAAGTGTCATCATTGGTTCTTCTGAGCCTGCAGACATGGAAGTCTGTAATACCTGGGAATTGTGTGGGCTTACCTGTTAAGATGATGGATCTATCGGTGAATGTATACCGAACTATGAAGTCACAGCCCAGTTTTGAAATCTGGCAAACCAGAGAACTTGATTTTCAAGCTGTAATTTTATTTTTGTGTTACTTGTAATCTAATAATAATAGAATATAATACAAGTATTAACATAAGGATTAGATAATACCTTATTATATGAAACATCAGGTTGCATGTAAGAACTTGTGGCTGAAACCCTTTTTAACCTCATAAAAATGTAGGATACGTCTATGTTGACTGATAACTCGGGTCCTTCCTTAGCTTCTAGGTGCTCTTATGGTGAACACCCACACTTAGGTGTGTGTTAGTTCATCCCAGTAATCACTTGAACTGGAAGAACTGCCTCTATATGAGATGAAACCCAGGTGCAATTATTCAAGTATATGCCCTGTAGCTATTACAGTGAAGCAAATCAGATTTAACTTCCCAGTGCTACACAGTCCTGCATCGCTATTTCAGCTGCAATGGCCTTTTTCCCCTTGAACACTTTGACATACCCTTCTGCCACACATGCATGATACCAATTTCATTCTGCTTTAATGGACTACAGCACAGCCCTCATTGTTTCAGGTGCTTTGAAGTAGAGGGAGGGGAGATGAACCCCCAAAATAATAACATTTTAAGGCCATCAGAACACCTTTTGAAGTCTGGAAGAAATGCAGACAAAATACTAAGCAGTTCGGACATACCAGTCTGCTCTGAAGTCCTGAGCAATGAGACCATGAGCTTTTGTCTGGGAACCAAGGTTTCTCCGTGGGGTGCATTTAGTGCAATGGATGTCAGAAGCAAAGCGATTATAAACAGTTGCAGATGCATTTAACTTTCTTCATGTATTCAGTCCCATCGACTTGTATAATATCATTTTACTGCAGACTGCCACCCTGAGGTTTAAGGACTCAATCTTTGACATTGGAAGAATTAGCTAGCTTGCTGAAAAGTTGAAGTAAATGGATTTAAGTTCCTCAGTTTTCTCAAACTTCATATCTCTATGAAAATAATTAATCTATCTGACCATGTGGATTCTTTTGAGTGCCATTAGAAAATAATGTTTGCAAACAGAAAAATTATTTCTAATATACATCCATGACTGCTGCCACTATTCAAATGGGGAATCTTTATTGTAAATAACGGAAGGATTGCGATTGTTTGTTAAATGTTTCTTGTTACTATTAGATGATCAGTACAAAACTGATATCAGAAACAATGTGTGGAAAACTTTTTGGCTCTAGTTCTTTTTAATCTTCAGAGTGCGGAAAAAATTCCAGTAGTTTCATTAGTTTGCCCTTTGATGTAAAGGATCTGTAGCCATGTAACAATCATAATTTTTTTCACTTATGTATTATTTTCCAATTTGTAATGTTTCTAATTATTTTATCAAAAAATTGATCCTAATAAGATTATGCATGAAGGAAATGAGAGTTGAAAGGAGTGAGAAGGAGTTACTCACTCCCTTTAGTAAGTCTTCTCTACCAGATTTACATGTTGTCATGGAGTTGATTTTTAACAATGCAATGAAACAGTTGTATTTTAATAAAAATGCAAGTTTATTTATATTTTTGAAAATTATACTGTGTAATTTTTTACCTTCTATTTCTGAGATTTATTTTTCCTTTAAAATGTATTTCAGACATATCTATCACTATTATATCCATGGACCAAAAGGAAATGAAACTAATGCTGTAACAAAAGACATAAGCCCTTTCAACAACATTGACATTCAGGTAAGAGATTTTATACTTATTAGTCAAAATTCTTCTTTGATGGCAACTTACTTCATATTGTGCCTGTTTCTCTTTAATCATGCATTTTGAAATACAGAAGCTCTTTAAGATATGTATGTAATTTAATTTTTAAAAATTAATACTATTGTCCTGGTTTTGTTTGGGATAGAGTTAATTTTCTTCCTAGTAGCTGGCATGGTGCTGTGTATTGGATTTAGCACCAGGAGCGGGGGAGTGAGCAAGCGGCTGCATGGTGCTTAGGTGCCAGCTGAGATTAAACTGGAACAACTATTTATCATTGCAGCATAGGAACTAATTAATTTTGCTAACAGTTAAGATGTAAGTCACAAATGCTAATTACTGTAGGGTTTTTTGGTCTAATGAAAATGAACTTGGTTTATTTTTTCCAGATTTCAATGTTTGAAAAAGGGAAAGTACCAAAGATTGTCAATCTTAGAGAGATCAAAGATGACATGCAGACACTGTATATAAATACTGCAGCAGATAGTTTTGAGTTTAAGGCACATGTTGAAGGAGAAGGTATAGTGGAAGGCATCATCCGATACCATCCTTTTCTGTATGATAAAGAAACATACCCTGATGATCCATGTTTTCCATCAAGTGAGTGAAACGTTTTGCTGCTTATCAGTCCTATTATAGACAATCCTACTCCTGTAAATGTTTTAATGAAATGGAAACTAGAACAATTTGAATTGAAGTGTAAATTACTATCTAATTTGGGTTGTGGCAGAACACATCCTTTTGGCTGTTGTAGTAACTCGTTCATGTGAACCTGATCTTTGACATAAGCTCATCTGATTTCAAACTATGAACTCTTATGGAATGCAGTCTGATTGAAATATTTCCACTTTCCTAATTGTTGTATCTTTGCTCCAAGAAAGTAGTGAAACACCAGTAGTTTGAGTCGACAGATTCTAACATTGGAATACCACAGAGGACAACATGTAGACTAAGTGATTGATTTAAAATCTGGTTTTCCAGATGCTAGGGTTTAAAAATAATTTGTGTTGGTCTTTTTTTTTTTTTTTTTTTTTTTTTTGACAGAAGTCTGTATTTTTATTTGACAGGATTTTATGATCATCAGTTGAAACTAAGAGGAAAAAGTAATATTTATTCAAATTTGCAAATTTGGCAGATTTGGTAATATTTGATCCCTGTTTAAAATTTTTCCTTAGTTTTTCTGTTTGGTATTTCTTAAACAGGAAACAAAAAATCCTAATATTGTATATACCTCACTCAATATCATGTGTACTGCTACTGTGCCTAACTTAATAACTATAAATAATCCTTAATTTAGACTGCTCTGTCTTGCCACATTATATTAGTTTTTAAAAGAAGCTTATTCATGGAGACTATCTTCTTTTTAATCAAGAATTAAATGACGACGACGATGATGATGATGACTGCTTTATAGTAGAAAAGGGTGCCAGAGGAAAAAGGCCTATTTTTGAATGTTTTTGGAATGGAAGATTAATACCATACACAACTGTGGAAGAGTAAGTGGTAATCTGTTTCTACAACGTAAACCAGTCTGTTTCTATAATGTAAACCTCTCTTCATAAAAAAGGGTTTTAATGTCTTTCTCCTCTTGTTTAAGTTTTGACTGGTGCGCTCCTCCAAAGAAGAGAGGATTAGCACCAGTTGAATGCTACAACAGAATTTCTGGTGCATTATTTACCAATGATAAGTTCCAGGTCAGTACAAACAAACTCACTTTCATGGATCTGGAGCTGAAGCTAAAAGATAAGAATACTCTGTTCACGAGAATCTTCAATGGACAGGTAATAATTTCATTTTGTTAGTTTGTCTTGACAAAGTTTAATGCATATGATATAAAAACCTTTACTCATTGGTCATTTGTTTGCACCACTGAATATTGCCCAGTTTCTGAAGAACTTTCACCTTGGACACTTTTGCAGGACTTTGTAGCAGTCAGTCATTTGTCTCAGTTTTAGTGACTTGTAAAGCTGACTCCTTAAATCTGGAAAAAAAAATAAGATATTTAGTCTTTTTCCTTTTATTGTCTTAAACAGTTATTTTATGTAGTTATACGGCAGTTTTTGAGGAAAGAACCTCTTCGTAGAGGAGTATGGGTGCTGGGGGAAACACTTTCTCTGTCTTGAAGTATAGCTTTCCTAGAATTTTGTAATGTTTCCAAGCTGAAGAATCCATTTTTTTGAGTAGTGTTGCTGTACTCTTATAATTGTTCATACTTCTGAAGTTGTCAGATTTAAGTTTTGTAATACATTAATAATATGTATTTATTTTGTAATCTCTTTATAGGAGCAGCGAATGAAAATTGACAGAGAATTTGCTTTGTGGCTCAAAGACTGTCATGAAAAATATGACAAACAGATAAAATTCACAGTCTTTAAAGGAGTAACTACACGTACTGATTTACCATCCAAAAGAATGCAGAGCCCTTGGGCAATGTACGCTGCAATAGAGTGGGATGGGAAAACATATAAAACTGGACAGCTGGTAAGTTAGTTGCTCACTGATGTTGTGGTTTTGTTTGTTCATTTTGTAATAGAGATTTTGAACCCTGTAAGAGGCAAATACTATACATTTGATGCAGAAGTAATGTATTGATATTAATTGTTGTCTTCTCTTTACAGGTGAAAACCGTTAAGACTCTTCCAATATTCTATGGAAGTATTGAGAAATTTTTTTTGTATGGAGACCATGATGGGGATATATATGCCACTGGAGGAGAGGTTCAAATTGCTTTGGTAAGACAGATACAAAAAGGATTCATTTACCTAGTATGCTGATAGAATCTTTAAACATAATCCTGGGTCAGACTTATTTAAATGACGTTTAGATAACTGTTGAAAATTATGATTATTTTTTTTTTTTTGAGGTTCAGCAATCTTGAAATAATTAAACTATTTAGTTACACTAGTTTTAATGTAAATATATTCAAATTATTATTCATGAACCATGTGCTGATTTATTTAAATTTGCGTATGAAATAGAGTATCACATTTGGTATCAATAGTATGTCGTGCATCTGTTCTTAGCCCTTGTGATTTCAGCAAATTTTAGAATAGTGTCTTGTGGTGTCACCAGACAGTATTTATTAGCATATTGCATTATGTTTGTGCTGACTTGTATAGTGTCTTAATAGAGAGGGGGTTTTTCTCTGATATATTATAATCTGTCTGTTTGTAACTGCACTCAATTTTTTTTCAGGAACCTCAGGCCTTGTATGCTGAAATGAAAACTATTCCAATATCAAAACTTGACAGAACAGTGTCTGACAAAGCTGTTAAAAAATACATAGAGGATGAAATGGCAAGGTAAGCTCTAAATTGTAATTATTTACTTGTGGAGTTCCGAACAAGATTTTAATATTTCTTCATGAACAACAACAACAAAAAAATAGCAGTTTCATTCCCAAATGGGAAAGCATTCAGGTGTTTCAGTAGAAACAAAAAAACCTAGAACTCTAAACCAAGAAGAAATATTTTGAGCGTTTTTCTTCCCCCAGAAAAGTAACTTCATGTATATTCTACTAAAGATAAATTAGCCTGGTTTTTAACTCATGGAAAAACTGTTCATTCTTTCTTTTTCACTAGGCTTCCTGACAAATTATCAGTAACATGGCCTGAAGGAGATGAGTTATTACCAAATGAAACAAGATTTGCTGGTACACCAATAGGTATATTTTTTTCTTCCAAATACTAAAATTAAAATGTCAATTTAAAAAATGAAATTTAAAAAAACAAGCATACAGAAATCTCCAATCACTTACAATACACAGCATATTTTAAAAGTCCATTGTTTTTCCTTTTAAATACAGGAGCGTTAAGAATAGTAATTTTGAATAAAAAAGGAGAAGCAATGCAAAAACTTCCGGGTACAAGCCATGGAGGTTCAAAGAAACTTCTTGTTGAACTCAAGGTTATTTTACATTGTAAGTATTTTGCTATATTTAACTGGGCCTTTATGATTTTAAAAATGCATAATGGATAATATATTTCTCTGTGTATATACATATAATACATATTAGAATTTGATAGATGGATATAGCTGTGAATTTTAAGGACAATATCCCATCAGAGCACGTAGTACTCCAAAGCCACATTTCATGGAATGACAATTGCTTCAATGCCAAATGTTTAATGTCTTAATTGTGTATTATGATTACATCTTCTGTTACATGTAAGAAGGGCCTATCAATTCCAGACTGCCTACTTAATGTGCATAAGAACATGGTTAAAATGGATGTTTCTGTAATTAATACAGCAATTCATGTGAGCTGCGTAAAAGTAGGGACCAGACTTGTTTATTATCTAATGTAAAAAATCAAGTTTCTTATGTGTTACTGTTCTGTGGTTTCCGTTTTATGGGTGCTTCACTTGATATTCTTACATTGCATTTGTTGAAGACTTGCATTCTCTCAGACACAGATGAAATTACTAAGTTGAGTGTTGGACACAAAATTAGAACACTAAATTATCTGAAAACTCCTATCCTTCACCTGTCAAATATATCGGAAATTTACAGAAACTTAAAATCTTGTTTGCCTTGTTTCTTTCCATATACAGTAGGAAAATCCAATTCCTTTATCTGGTAAGAGCTGTAAAAATACCTTTCTGAAGCACTGAGGTTACTGTAGTGATATATGTCAAAGGAAACCAAATGGAAGTATCTTAGCTACAGTTTAGTATATGTGTCATAAGACTACATGTGGTATTTTAATTGCATTTGTTATGTGGGGACTGTCTGCTGTGCATGTCCATTGTCCAAGGTAGTATGCTGGAGCATAAAGAGGTTGGAATGGAAAAAAACATGTTCATGTAACACAGATTATCAGATTGTATTTGCCAATAGCCTGGGGGACAAATCAGGTTTTTTGCAACCTTAACTGAGGTAGACCATCCTGACTTCAGGACATAATAAACTTGACAGAGGCATGGCATTTCTATTGTTGTGTTTTTTCAGTGTTGATGCTAGGAGTAATAAAACTAAGTTTGCCCTTTGCCTCCAATCACTGAAAAGTCTCTCTTTAGACCTTTCATGTCTCCTGACCGCTTCGATTCACTGATGGAAATTTATACTTGTAACTGTTCTTACTGCTTCCTATCTTAACTTTTGTCTAGTCAATTGAGGAATCACTAGTGTAATCCCTCTGTTCTTCACCCGAACAAGGAGTAAGTCGGGCATGGCATACCTGTCAAACTCAAACCCCCCTAGTCTTTCTTACAATAAAAAGCTCTCATTTGTACTGTCATGATTTACACCCATATCAAGGCCAACAGCAAACACCTTATAATGTACAAAAAGTTTTTCTTCTCTTTTGAAGCATGGGATAAATGGCAAAATATACTGTGGACTGCCAAGACAGTTGAGCTATGAGAAACTTCTTATCTGGTCTCTTACTGGGGAGCCTTATACAAGGTTCAGTTCAAGATTAGGGCTTGAATTATAGGGTTGAGAGAATGATAAAGTTGAGGGGTCCAGTGGAGATAAAAGGAGCTGCAAAAAGAAAGGGTGAGATAGCGGGAGAACTGGACTGTGAGAAACTTCTTGTCTCGGCCATGGCAGGAGCACCTTGCCCAGGGTTTGGACAACAGGTATATCAGCCAGAAGAGGATGGTTAAAGAAAGCGTACCCCCACTGATGAGCGAGACGGGCAAGCTGGTAACAGCAGATGAGGAGAAGGCTGAGGTACTCAACAACTTCTTTGCCTCAGTCTTCACTGGCAACCTCTCTTCTCACGCCTCCCAAGGTGACGGATGGCATGAGGGGGACTGGGAGGGCAAAACCCCTCCAGCTGTAGGAGAAGATCAGGTTCGTGACCACCTGAGGAACCTGAATGCACATAAGTCCATGGGACCTGATGAGGTGCATCCCAGAGTCCTGAGGGAATTGGCCGATGTAGTTGCCAAGCCCCTCTCCATGATATTTGAAAAGTCATGGCAGTCAGGGGAAGTCCCTGGGGACTGGAAGAAGGGAAACGTGCCCATTTTCAAAAAGGGTAGAAAGGAAG